ATATTGTCATCTTAGAAATAGTTGTTCAAGTTACAAAATTAAAGCATATAAAGAGGACATTTAAACAGTGCGACTGCAAACAGTTCTGTTCAATGATCCAACAAAACTCAGTAATATGGTTATCTATCTTATACACTTAAATATACATGCAGTTATGTCCTTTAGAGCACTTTCTTTTCCTCTCTTTTGTACAATGACAATTACACATTTTGGGTTTTATTACTCCCACAGTTCTTATTCCTTTTTTTTTTTTTTTTCTTTTTCTTTTTCTTTTTTATCGGTACCAGGGATCAAACTCAGGACCACACACTTGCAAGGCAGGTGCCTATGTGGCTGAGCTACATCCCCAGCCCTAAGGAAACTCTTAATACTGAATATTATACATAAGCTAGTTCATGATTAGATTTCCAGGGAACAAATAGGTTTTGGCGAGCTTAGAAACACTTGTATAGCGGAACAGCAAAATCGATTCCCCACAAGTGGCTCCTCCATAATTATTTTTAATCATAAGTAAGTATTCTCAAAATAAAGGTTCTGTGTTAAATAATCATATTTTTGAAGTAAGTATATTTCATACATGTATATTTTTTAATGAAAATTCTATTTTGTCAGTCATAGAACTGATACTTGCATTGTAAAAGCCAGAAAATACAAAATAAAAGTACAAAATAATGTAGTTTACCCAAAATTGTGTGAAGATTTAGTGGCCACATTCTTTCTAAAGTACAAGCACAAAGTTCACTTGCAAACACAGTTTTCAGTATGAAAGATCCTACTGCAGTTATGCTGCATGATCTTTTGTCCTGCTCCACATCAGTAAAGAGATATCTTTGCCACTTTAATGTTCAGTTGATTGGATGTACAGTGGCTTTTCTTTGACTATTGGTGTATTATAGACATTTATGGCATTTCTTAATTTTCTTACCAGTTTTGGTACATCACTGTAAAACTGGAACATTTTATCAAATTTCATCTGAGAAGTAAAATTTCTAAATCAAAAAAAGTTTAAGTTTTGCCAACATGCTTTAGATACTATTTTAAAAAATTTAGCAGCATGGAGCCAAGTGTGGTGGTGTATGTCTCTAAACTCAACACTGAGGAGGCTGAGGCTGTGAGTTCAAGGCTAGCTGGACTCATAGTGAGACTTTCTCTCAAAGAAAGTGGGAGGAGGAGCGAGGTATAATGAACTTTCACATTGCTCTGCTTGGTTGGATTTTCTACACTGCATTAAAATCGGTACATTCTAAATGATAGTCCTGGTTTTTTTAAAGACCATTCAGCATCTATATACTGCATTTTAATATTTATCTGAAGTGCCTTTTTAAAGACTACTAAGAGTGCCCTAAGAGAAGAGACTGAGTTTTATGTAACACATGCTATGACAAATGTCAGCTTTTCTGTGATAGCTCGCTGGCTGAGCTGAACAGTGACTGGACCTTTTCCCCTGGCGGTGTAAACTTAGGTGTGTAGATGTGCTCTGTTCCATTGGAGACACCTTAGATGTCCAGTCCGTACAGCTGTTGAGGTGGGGTACTGGCCCAGTTCCTTTTTGCCCCCTTTACCCTCCCTCCTGACCGCCCTCCTTGGGCTTGTAATGCATTGGTCCCAAACCCCTTGGTCCCATCCCGCACCCCTTTTCATTGGGTGTCAGCGTCCAAGTGATCTACCCAGAGCATTATCTCCAGAGCTGTGACTCCCTTCTCCAGGACCATTTGTAATTCTTTGCTGGTATTTTTGTTTTAATTACTATGAAGAAGTGATAGACCTTGAGCTAAATTGCTGGTTTATCAGAGTAGGACTTCTTAGCATTAGTGAAATTTAAGTTTAACAATTCCTTTGTTAATATTTAGTTGTGTTACCAAGCTAACTGCATTATTATTTAAAAGTACCTCAGCTGTTAAACTTAACATTTGAGCTACCTTATTTGTCTTATTTTTGCCTGTGCTTAATATTTAGCTTATTTTTTAAAATCCCATTCACTGTTACTTTCTTTGAATTATGGAAAATATAAAAATCCAGTCCATAGGACCAGGGATTTAGCTGTGGCGTAAATGCCTGCCTGGCAACATGAGGTTGAGAGTTCAATTCCTGGTACAAAACAAAAGAAAAAGAAAAAATCCAGTCCATAGTCAAACTAACACATGTAGCACACTTTGATGTCTTGCAGACCAAAGTTGACACTGACTTCCTTTGATGTGCTAAGTACTTTAAATTTGTTAGTTTTTATTTTTCACAACAGTTATTCAAAGAGTTCTTTGTGATGTCAGTACATAAGACTTTAGGAAGGCATTTCCCTGGAAACTAAATACACTTTTGAAAGTTAATACTCTTAAACCAAGTGCTGACCTTTTGAGGAGACAGAATACCTTTCAGGCCTACTAAAATTTGAGTGTAAAAAGAGTTGACTTTGGAAAGACTGCTCATGAGCAGCTGTGTCCCAAGGTAGAAAGACTGCAGCCACACCTGAATTATTGATGTCAGAACCCGCACCCTTCCACCAGACCATGCTGGCTTCTCCCCTGCAAGGGTACCATGTGCCTTCAGAGCAAATGGTTCAGCAGTACTCCCTGATTAAACATCTCCAGAGCTGTGGAATTAGTTTGTTCCCTTTAGACTTTAAATATTGATAGCCAGGACCTTTGTACAGTTCTAGCCTACTGTCTTCTACCTTGACTGAAAGTCTTTGTTCACATGACTTTTAAAAATAAACAGTACTAAGCTCTGTGAAGCACAACATCCTTAACTGTTAAACCTGAGTGTTTGGAGGAATAGTCAAACAATGAAAAGTGCTAGAAAAGAGCCAACTTGCCTGTTGCTGCTATTCACTTCATTGACTAGTGTATTAAATGTTGTTATTTAAAATGTTGTCATTTTAATAACTAGAGTATATTCCAAAAGCACATTTTTTTTTCAGTACTAGAGGTTGAATCTAAGACCTTGAGACTGATTGAGTGGCATCCCAAACAGTTTTTTAATATTGTACAAATTAGACTGGCTTTTACTGTTTTTATGAGACCGATTCCTATCCTCATAAGTCACAGAAGGTAATGATATAATGCAATACAAATAAAGAATTCCAGAATGCCCAAAACTTGTAGTACAGGGCTGGGGATTTAGCTCAGCAGCATAAGCACCTGCCTGGCAAGCGTGAGGTCATGAGTTTGATCCCCGGTACAAAAAAAAAAAACAACTTGTAGTACAAACACGTCTCTTTATTTTAATTTTCATTTCAGTACAGAGATTCACTTAGTTGCCCAGGCTAGACTTGAATTTGCAGTCTTCTTGCTTCAGCTTCTCAGAGTGCTAGGATTACAGGCTTGCACCACTACGCCCAATTAAAGGCACAGCTTAAAAAATATTTTATTAAAACTCTTTGGGATTATGAAACAATGACAGGATACCTGTTCTTTTTGGGGATGGGGATTGCTGAGTATTTAAACTCAGGCATTGTACATGCTAGGCATGCACTCTGTCACTGTTAGCTACACCTCCAGGTCTGGTATCCAACCTTTATTACAATAAAACCCTAAGAGAACAACTTTAAAAGGAAAAGACAGCCCTTTTGCCTTTCTGGGAAAAGAAAGTCTCTTAAATTATTTTATTCAGACACTTAAAACGTTATGAAAACAAAAAACATTTCCAGCAGAAACAAAAAAGTGGAACACACCAAAGAGAAAGTCAGAGAATCCTGGTATCTACCATACATTCTTACCTAGAAATTCACTACCTAAATCTTTTCAAGTCTTGCAGAAGTTGGCTGGTTGGTTGTTTTTCCCAGTACTGGGGTTTGAGCCCAGGGGCACTCTACCACTGAGCTATGTCTCCAGCCATTTTTGTTTTTATTTTTTTATTTCAAGACAGGGTTCTATATCGTTCAAGTGGGACTTGAACTCGTGATCCTCCTGCCTCAGTCTCCCTCCGAGCTGCTGGGATTACTGATGTGCACTGCCACACCCAGCTTTATAATTATTTTGCTTTACTAAGGTCAGTTTTTTCTTTGTTAGGTGACAACTGTAATTTCCATTTTAATAAAATAAAAAACAAAAGAGGCTTGCAAAGTAATATAGGAAGTCTGAAGAGCAGCTATAGTAGATGTTTGAACTGGTACATTCTAACGTGTCAATGACCTAACATGACATGGGTAAGCAGCATATTCTGTTGTTAAAGGGTTGTGTATATGCAAAACACCACTTTACTATAAAAAACATAATAGCCAGCCTTTAAAGGAAGCTTTTACTATGTGAGACACTTAATAAGTGCTTTAAATATCTATAATTCCAGTATTTTTAAAACTCAGAAGCTACAAGCATTTTTCATGAGTTTGCCTGGATATTCTTGGTGATACAACATGACAGGAATTTGCTTAAGGATGTTTTTAATCTCTGTCCTTTTAATCTAAACATTTATTTCCTGTAGAAATATTAATATTCTTAATATTTAGAACTAGTCAGATCCTCCCTAGTTCTCTGTGTTGAAAAAAACATCTGACTGTATTGAATTTTACTTGATTTATATTTTTGTATATCTTTAAAGCAGTATCTTTTTGCATAACGGAGGCGCAACGGGGAGGGGTTGGAAAAATATTTAGTTGTTTTGTCCTGGGTCTAAAAACTATTGCACTTGTTTATCACTTTTACTAAAGTGATGAAAATAAATATTGAATGACCTTAATGTTGGGTATGCTTAGAATACAAAGAATCAAATTTGGTTTCAATAGAAAAAGAGACTTCCATGTTACTTTTTGTGGGACACTCCTCTTGGTTTCTTCTTATTGAAAATTTTGAAACAGTCTTAGCTGATGTTGAGTAACCCTAGTTGGCCTCTCTGCTTAAAGAGTTCTATTTGTAGCCCTTTGACTGCGCTTACCTGTGTTCAACAGGAAGAGTGCTAGGCACCTCCCTTTCAGTTGTTCTTTTGGAAATCTTACTTTTAACAGCACTTTGCTTTGTTGGCTTGCATGACATTTTCTTTCTTTTCCTTTCTTTTTGCCGTTTGCAAAGACTCTTGGGAGGATTTGACAGATTTGGTGGAGCAAATGCGCGATGATGGAGAAGGTGCGTGCCACACCAACATCCTTCAGCTTTGTTTGCTTTTTCTTTTTTTTTAAATTTTCTAACCACCCTTTAATTGTTTTCCACAAGAAGGTCAGTCTGATTGAGGTTTTATTTCCCATGGCAGTAACTGAGAAATCTTTATGCTTATGGTTCCAAGTAAAATACATAAATTTGTATTTGCACTGATCCTTTAGGCAATTTGTTAAATAACATATTTAAAAGAGATATTTTGAGAGTGCAGTGAGTTTTTCTATGGCTTATTTTTCATTTGTTTGTTGGGAAGGTGTAAATATACGTGGGGAGAGATACATATAATTTCACAGAATTCAGAAACATCTTAGGTATCTGAAGCACTTGATATGGAATGTTGTTCTGAAGTACACTGATTTGCATAGCATCCATCTCATGCAGCTAGGATTACATGTGTGCACCACCATCCCAGCAAAGCAGTACTTATTTCTTCTGCAGCCATGGCCCCTAACCTCAGGCAGCTCAGAGTGATTTGTATGCACAGTTTATACTAAAAGCAGAAAGACTAAATTTCTCTTCTGTTTTACTGTGTCATTTTGCATCCCCTCACCACCGAGGCACTGTGTCTATGGAGCTTTTGGGCACGCCCCTCCACACAGGTGGTCACCATTCTGCCCAGGTAGCCCTTGTCTGGCCCCCAGCTGGCCTCTTTTGCTCTGCTCCAGCTGTCTGTACCTCCTCACCAGCTCTTCCCGCACCTGCACCACCTGTCCTCCAGTGTTATATGTTTATCCCTGTGATGGGTCAGGAATATAGCTCAATGGCATAAGCACCTACCTGGCAAGCACAAGGTCCTGAGTTTGATTCCTGATTTTAAACAAAACAAAACTTTTAAAAATATATATATAGAGAGAGAGTTTCACTATGCAAGCTGGCCTTGAGCCTACTTTGTAGCCCAGGCTGGTCTCAAACTTGCAGTGATCCTCCTGCCTCGGCCTCCTGAGTGCTGGAATTACAGGCGTGTACCACCATGCCTAGCTTTGTATCTTCTTTACTCATTGCTTTATTTATTTATTTATTTATTTATTTTTGTCTTTTTCCTTTTTATCGGTACCGGGAATCAAACTCAGGACTGCCTGCTTGCAAGGCAGGCGCTTATGCCACTGAGCTAAATCTCCAAACCCCTCATTGCTTTAAATGAATAAATTCTGATCCCAAGTTTCATTTCCTGTGGTCATGTTACTATTTATAGTTTTTTCCCCTCTCCTAGTGAGTAGTTATTACTATTACATTAGCTGCTACTATCGTTATCCTTATAATATCCAGGTACCATCAGGCTGAAGGCTTTAATTCCTTTAATACCTCACATACTAAAGAAAAATGCTACATAAAATGTATGTCCTTCCTGCTAGGAGTAGTAGTGCACATTATAGTCCCTTCCGTGAAAGAGGCTGAATCAAAAAGAATTCTTAATAATCTCACAAGTTTGAGATCAACCTGGGCAACATAGTAAGACTCATCTCACAGAAGAAAGCAAGCAAGCAAGCAAACCAAACAAACAGAACAATCTAATGTCTGTGGGACTTCTTCCCCATGACTGAACACAGACAAAATTCCGTTTCTTTAATACAAAGTACTAATGCAAGGAAAAAGCTCATTTTAAGAGTCAGCCTCTTCCTGTTCTTTTAGATTTGCTGCAGTTCCTGTGAAAGGTTACAGTGTAGGTGACACCCAAAAGGAACCCAAATGAACTTTATGCAGTGCGTAAAACAGCCAGAAGATATGAACTCTGTCCACACCTTGATGATCTTAGTGAATTGCCAGTCAGGTATTACTTGAAGACGTTGCTCAAGGTCCTGTTCATGTAGCAGCCTTCCTAGAATGCAGTTGTGGAATTCAGAATGAGAGGAAAAAAATGGCTTTACTTGTTAACTTTTGTGAATCATTTCATTCTTGACTTTTCTATCATTTTCTGCTTCTCATGTCTTCTAGACTTAACTACAATCACATGAAATTATAACATTTTGCTGTGTTACATAACTTGGAGATTTTTGTAAATGAATACTAGTAAAGAACCAGTACATACTACAGAGTAATAACCACACCTAACAGCAGTTCCCCAGATTCTGAGAAAGTAATAATTATACAAGTACAGATCTTTCCAAGAGATCTTCACTGCTAAGCTGTTTCAGTTCTGTTTCTCATATAGATATGCCGGAACAATTGGCTTTTTTTTTTTCTTCTTGAGACAGTCTGATTATATTGCCTGGGCCAGTCTCAAACGCAAGATCTTTCTGCTTCAGCCTCCTGAGTAGCTGTGGCTATAGGCATGTGCTACCACTATTTTGGGCATGTAGGACAGTTTGGCTTTTTAGTAGATGAAGGTTTTTTTTTTTTTTTTTTTTTTTTTTGTCTTTTTGGTTTTTATCGGTACCAGGGATTGAACTCACGACTGCCTGCTTGCAAGGCAGGTGCTTATGTAGTAGATGAAGTTTAATTCTGGTTTTTTTCCTCTTTAAAAACTACTTTTTAAAGGTTTGAGATTTGAAATGGTTGGTGGTTGGCTTATTCTTAACTCTGGTTGTGCTGGGGGATTGAACCCACACTCACACACATATCTACCCAGCATATGCTTTACCATCTAGCTGCATCCCCAGCTTCTGTTTATTTTTTAAAATTTTAGCAGGGTCGAAGTTTTAACTATACAGCTGGGGGATCACAGTGATGCTTGGCGCTTGACTTATGTTTAGTGTATCTCCACCTGTGTCTAGTAGAATAGGAAGGGTCTGCTGAGAACAGATTGCCTTCTGCTTATAATTGTCTTACATCACACTCATGAAATTCCAGACCTTGTGTCTGAAAGTTTTGAAACAGCAGAAATATTAACATTAAATAATAAAAAGCATAGTTTATTGTCTTTAGTTTCTAAATAAATACTGAATTCCTGTCTATACTTGTTATAAGCCCAATTGACAGAGTTTGTGAATTTGCACCTGGTCACATTACTACTCACCTGTCTGGGGATTGAAGTAGTCAGGATGGCACTGGGGTTTGGAGATACTGTACCTGTATAAAATGCTACTTTGTGATCACTTACCATTTCTTTGACATTCCTATTATGTTCAACCTGATGTCTACCCTTCTGAAAACAGAAGGAACTTGTATACGAATTTCTTGGCTTATAGTGCTATGCCATAATCATTTGATAAAGTTATTAAATTTAGTAAAAGTGGGATTTTTGTTTTATTTTGCTTTGTTTTTGAGATGGGTGTCTCACTGTGTAATAGGCTGACCTTGAATCAGTATGTAGTCCAGGCTGGCCTTGAATTCGCAGTGATCCTCCTGTCTTGGCCTCCCAAGTGCTAAGATTACAAGTGTGCACCATCACGCCTGGTGTAAAATTGTTTCATTTATGAAGGAGTAGGTAATTATAATAGCTTTTTTGTTTTTAGTATTTCCCAGGCATTTGTAAATGCTTATTTAACATGTATGAACTTGCTTAATCTTCACAAATAACCCCTGTCACTTTATAGATGGGAAAAGTGAAACCTGCAGAGGTTAAGAAACTTCCTAGAGAAGCACTACTCATAAGTATAAAGGATGCTGATGTATGCAACTTGGATGACTCTGCGTGGTTCTTCTTCCTCCTTGTCCTCCCCTCCCCATTTTCCTCATCTTCTCCTTTTTTTTTTTGTGGTTCTTGGAATTGAACCCCAAGCCTTCATGCCAGGCTACATCCAGACTACCCTAACCCACATTTTTGGAAACAGACTGTCACTCAGTTTTCTAGACTGGGCTCATACCTGCGATCCTGCTGCTGCAGCTTCCCAGAGTACTGGGATTACAGGCATGTGCCACACTTCCTGACTAGTTGATTCTTTTTTTTTTTTTTTTTTTGTCTTTTTCCTTTTTATCGGTACCAGGGATCGAACTCAGGACTGCCTGCTTATAAGGCAGGCGCTTATGCCGCTGAGCTAAATCCCCAGCCCCCGACTAGTTGATTCTTGATGCCTTCTTTCATTAACAGGTATTCCTCAGTGTAATTTGTTTCCTCCTGGCAACCTTTTTTTTTATTATTTAAAAAAGAGAAAAGTCAGAAAAAAAAAAAAAAAGCAAAAGGCATAAATAACAACAGACTCGAAACAGTAACAATACAGGTCTTCAGAATGAAAGAAATTGAACAATGGTTGTTATATTGCATATTGTTCTTTTTTCAAAGAAAGTTAAAGAAAATAGAAAAACAGAAAAGGATAGAAACATAGCAAATTTTTAAAAATTACCATCATAGAATCGCTAGTTGATACATTACTCATTGTTGTCTTAAAAAATAATGCCAAAGTCACAAAATCAAAGCATAAATAGTGGCTTAACATTCAGACACTGACAGTGCAAATCCTTCTGTTCAGTGCTTCAACAGAAATTCAGTAATATGGTCATCTATCTTATGCACTATACATAACCATTATATTCTTTAGAGTACTTCCCTTCCCTTTTGCTTTCACAGTATCTATTATACTTTTTGGATCCTATTGTTCTGTCAGTTTTTATTGTTTTTTACATTAGAGAGACAATGTGATATTTATTCATGTGAGTCTTGTTTATTTCACAAATGAGGATATTTTCACACTGCCTTCATTTATCTATAAAGGCCTCAAGATCATCCTTTTTTATAGCTGAGTAGTATTCCATTGTATAAAAATAGACATTTTTTTCATCCACTCTGCAGTTGATGGGCATTTTGGTTGTTTCCAAGATTTAGCTAACACAAATTGTGCTGCTATGAACATGTGTGCACATACATCTCTATGACATGACATTTTCAATTTTTCTGGGAAAATACCCAGGAGGGGAATAGCTGGATTGAATGAAACTTCCAATCCTAGTTTTTTGAAGCATCTCCATACTGATTTCCACAGTGTTTGCACCAGTTTGCACTCACACCAACAGTGGAGAAGTATTCCTTTTTCCCTGCATCCTCGCCAGCATTTGTTATCAGTTGTTTTCTTGTTTTTTGTTTTTTTGTTTTTGTC